ATTTTCAAATTCTCAAATTATTCAGAAGAAACGTTTTTTTTTAATTCCAAAAATTTTCAAAATATTGAAAAAAAATTAAATTATCAAAAAAATCAAATTTAAAAAAAAAATTGACTCTTGTAAACGTACTCAAAAGCATTTATAATTTTACAGTATGTAATAAATAATTTATTTGAAATTATTCAAAACAATTATTGACTATTTGCATCTCTCAAATGTTTATTTACGGTTCGGGAAGTTCCAGCAATTTGCCTTAAGGCACGATGCCATGCGCCCCACAAGTTAATTGACTGTTTACTAATTATGCTACAAAACTTCAAAATATTAACTTCTGTAATATTTTTGCCATTGTAGTGTTTCATAATTCTTTATAATTTTAATTAGTGTCTATCAAACTATAAGTTGAACTATAAGCTGAGTTCTTGTACTTAGTGACCGGAATCGAAACGTTTGTGTCATGACTTTTTCATTATTTAAGAAATAATTTGGAAAAATCGATGCAAAAAAAACGATTAAAGAAAACCTATATTTAACTTTGAAACTTTTCATTCGCCAGTTCGTGCGTCCAATTGGAGTCAGAGCGATGGAGCACGCCCGATATATATATATACCTGTATATATATATATATATATATATATATATATATATAAGCTTTTTCACACTAATCAGGCAACTACGTTCAAACCAAAAATATTTGTATTATATATTTCTACAACGAGGCTAACTTCATATCGAATACGTTACATAATCGACAGGTTTTAGGGTTCAAAACTTTGCTGCTAACTAGTTTTGACTAAGCTAGATATATAAAAGTGTCCAGAATGAAATTTTTCCGTTATTTAGTTTTTCGTTAAGAGAGTATTTTCCGTATTCCAAGTATTTGTTGCACAAAATGTTTTAAAGGGGACTCTACTGACGAGCAAAATCTTTGAAAAATTGATGAGCAAAATGTAAAAAATATGAAAAGGACTGTACTAACGAGCAAAATGCAGAAAGTATCAAAAGGGACTCTACTGACAAATAAAATGTAATAAAAATTGATAAGGACTCTACTGACGAGCAAAATGTGATAAATATCTCAAAGGACTCTACTGACGAGCAAAATGTAGAAAAGATCAAAGGAAACTTTACTGATGAGCAAGCTGATAAATTATTAAAAAGAACTCTACTGACGAGCAAACTGATAAAATATTGAAAAGGACTCTTCTGATGAGCAAACTGATAAATTATTAAAGGGGACTCTACTAACGAGTCAATTTAAAAAAGCATCGAAAGAGACTCTACTGACGAACAAAATGTAATGAAGAGCAAAACTGACTCTACTGACAAGCAAAATGTAATGAAGATCTAAAAGGACTCTACTGACGAGCAAAATTAAAAACAAAGTAGAAATGACCTTACTAACGAGTAACCTGACAAAATATTAAAAAGGACTCTACTTATGAGCAAAATGCAGAAAGTATCAAAAAGGACTCTACTGATAAGCAAAATGTAATATAAGCGAAAAGGACTCTACTGACGAGCAATGTGTAAAAAGAGCAAAAAGGACTCTACTAACGAGCAAAATTAAAAAGAACAAAAAGGACTCTACTGACGAGCAAACTAATAAAATATTGAAAAGGACTCTGCTGACGAGCAAACTGATAAATTATTAAAAGGGACTCTCTAAAAAAGGATCGAAAGTTACTCTGCTAATGAGCAAAATTAAAAAAGGATAGAAAGGGACTCTACTGATGGGCAAATTGTAAAAAATATGAAAAGGACTCTACTGACGAGCAAGCTGATAAATTATTAAAGAAGACTCTACTGACGAGCAAAATGTAAAAAAAATCAATGGAAACTCTACTAACGAGCAAAATGTAATAAAGAGCAAAAGTGACTCTACTGACAAACGAAATTAAAAAAATGCAAAAAGGACTCTACTGACGAGCAAAATATGAAAAGATAAAAAGGACTCTATTGATGAGCAAATTGAAAAAAGATTGACAAGCAAAATGTAATAAAGTATGAAAAGAACTCTACTAACGAGCAAAATTAAAAAGAACAAAAAGGACTCCACTGACTCGCAAAATATAAATAATGATCGAAAGGGACTCTACTGACGAGCAAAATTTAACAAAGGTGAAAAGGGACTCTACTGACAAGAAAAATGTAAACTAGTGATGCATGGCATCGGGTCCTAAAGCAAATTGATGGAACTTCCGTACCATAAAAATAAATAAACAAAACTTGATCAAGAGGAGTTAGAATCAATGGACCTTATCCCATAATTCTAACAATTAAATAAACTGAACTGCAAAGTTCAAATTATCTATTTCAAGTATATAAGTGAGCTTTAGAAATTCGGCTAGAATTAAAATTGAAATCCGAATCATTTTAAGAAAAATAGATAAATTAGAAGAAATACTTAGTATTTTGCAATATACCGTGTATAGTGTGACATAATCTTTATGTTCTCATACAAACACAACATCCCCTCCATTTAAGGGGCTGTCACACAAGCCCCTTCCGAGAGGTACTTAAGCTCCGCCCCCAATTTATATATATATATATATATATATATTATATAATTTAGGCTTATAGAATATTTTAGAAGTTCAGTTTGACTTGGACTGTCAAGGTGTAAAGTTGTTGTGTGTGTCAACTAAGGATAAATATTTATATTAATATGTGCTAAAAATCAAATAAAAATTATAACAATACTTAAATCAAATTAACTGAAATACGAATTAATTAAAATACTTTCTAATAAATTAACTGCAACATAATTAAGAATTACAAAGTTAGTTTTATTTTAAATAGATTTTTCAATTTAATAAATATAATATGAAGTGTTTAATAAATATAACGTGTGGTTGGTAGTTAATATATATAAAAAATAATAGGTGTGTATGTAAAACTTATATTAGAACACAAAACATTTTTTTGATTTCTCAACGACAATTTTACACGCAGTGAAAACGTATTTTTTCGATGAATTTTCAAAAACAGTTTTTGGTAAGGGGTGATTCTGGACTTGTTTTTAAATTTCCTAATAAAACTTGAAAAGTTTTATTTCGGGCACTTTATTTTAGTTAATTCAGAAGAAACTACATAAAATGAACTAAGATTTTGTGTAATTTGTTCTATATACCCCGGTACAAAAATTTGAATTAAATAAGTTCTAAAACAGTGTTATATTTTATCTAAATTAATTATATATGGGTAATTTTGTTACATTTTTATAAATAACATGAAATGTTTTTTCCGGGTACTCTTTTTTATTTAGTTTTGCCAAAACTACATAAAATTCACTAAATTTCTGTATAAATTATTTTATGTCTCAAAACAAAATTATTAAATAAACTAATTCTTACCAATTTGCTCTCAAATTGCTAAATTTTCACTTTTGTTACAACTGGTAATAATCATGTAGTAACATCAGAGTGTGATTAGGGACATTTTCTACATTTTTGAATAAAACTTAAAGTTTTTGTTCTGGAAACTCTGTTTTATTTAGCTTAGCAGAAACTAGATAAAATTTAATAAATTTTCATATAAACTATTTAAAATATCCCTAAACAAACAGATCAAATAAACTAGTTCTTAATGTTAAATTAGTAAATTGGTGCCAATAATAATTATCTAGTAACATCAAAGTGTTATTCTGGACATTTTTTTACATTTTTAATAAAACTTGCAAATTTTTTTCCGGGCACTCTATTTTAGTTAGCTTAACAGAAACTAGATAAAATTTACTAAATTTTAGTATGAACTTTTTTATATGCCCGAAAACAAAAATTTTAAATAAACTAGTTCTAAAGCCGCCTAATAACACGAAATTTTCATTTTCGTCAGTCTATTTTAATAATTTCAGCTGAATCTGCATAAAATTTACTAAATTTTGGTATAAACAGTTTTATATGCCCCGAAACAAAAATTTTAATTAAATTAATTCTAAAACTGCGTTATATATTATCCATATTGACCTCTATATAGATCATTTTTTTTGAATAACTTGAAACTTTTTTCCGGGAACTCCTTTTGATTTAATTTAGCAGAAACTAAATAAAATTTACTATTTTTGGTATAAACTGTTTTATATTCCCGGAACAAAAAAATTATATGAACTAGTTCTAGAGCCGCGTTATATACGTATGCAAATTTGCAAAATACGGGCAATTTTTTATATTTTTTTTTAAATAACTTGGGAAATTTTATTCCGGGGCACTTTTTTCAATTAGCTTAGCAGAAACTGCATAAAATTTACTAAATTTTGGTATGAAATGTTTTATATACTCAAAAACAATTTTTTTCAGCAAACTAGTTCTACCACCGCGATACATATTATTCATATTAGCAATATGGATCATTTTTTTTACATTTCTTTAAATACCAGCACAATTTTATTCATGGCACTATTTTTTTATAAGCTTATAGGAAACTAGATAAAATTTGCTAAAATTACTCTTTTTTTTCAGTTTTGAAAATTGCAAAAAAATTGAATTTTTATCAGACAGACAGACAAAAGTATTTATTGCAATAATTTAGCATACATTTTACATTGTTGTTTTTTATGCATATTTGCTTACTCGTGAGTACTTTATATATCATATATAATTTTAATATATATATATATATATATGTATATATATAATATATATATATATATATATATATATATATAATATAATATATATATATATATATATATATATATATATATTGATTACAGTGTGTATACAATATGTTTATATGTATGTGCTAAAAAAAGAATTTTTATCGCAGTTAATAATCATCCTAAAGTAACATCAGAGTGTAATTAATAGTGAAAACAAATTAAAGAGAAATCAAAGTACTGATTGGAAGACTCTAAATAAAATTTTTAGGTTGTGATTCTGGCTTAAATTTAATTGTGTCTTTTTGTTAGTCGATACTGACTACTTATTAATGACTTTAAATTAGTAAAAGTGTAAAATACAAGTGAAAACCTCTATCAAGTGATCTTTTTTATACCAAAATGTCTCAAGAAACCAAAAAAATTGACATAGACACAGACCTAACCACCAATTCCTTACCGATCACAAAACGCAAAATCCCAATACCATTTTCCATAGAATCTTTGATCTCCAAAGACCTCCAAAAGACGAATTTACCAGATAAACCTCCAAATCTTCTCCAGCCCCATGAGAAGCTGATCAGCTCAAATTTGCACCTGACCAATAGGCTTTTTGAAAATTATCGGCTGTTTTGTGTCAATCAGCAATTTTACCCTGGAGCCATATATCCGGCGAATTTTGGAGGTGGATTTTATACTGAACCACCAGGATGGAATGGTGACACAGGAGTTGGTGCTGGTGGTGCATTTTTGCCGGAAAGTAGGAAAGATTCAGAGGACCAGGAGAGAAATATTGGTAAGTGGTAATTTTCAGATAATTGGAATTTTCTTAGATTTAATAGCTGATTTTACTATCAAATTTTTGGGACACAAATTGAATCACCACCAAAAATTTTTTGGAAAAAAATCTCCAAGACATGTTTCTTCTCTTGCAGTATTTTTGCTTTAGGTAGATCTTATAAGACATCTGCAAGAGTCCATGTCTCTGATCCCTGAAGAGCTCCAATTTCATAGTATCTATGTTTGCTCTATATTCACTAGTTTATATCTACAAACGAATTTTTTTCTACTATTTTCTTTACTTTTTTTCCATATAGTTTTTGTGTTTTTTCTTAGAATCCATGTCTCTGATCCATGCAGAGCCTTGTGTGTAAATTTTGTGCAATCTAACAATGACTCATACATCTTTACAAATTTGAATTTTTCAAAACAGCCATAATGAATTTGAAACGTCAAATATTTATATATATATATATATATATATATATATATATATATCTTATATATAAAAATGAAGCTATCGATCAAATGATCCGCTAAAACTCGAAAACTGAACCGATTTGGCCAGTCTTAGTCTTGAAAAATTCGTGCTAATTGGTAGGTTGTCGGAAAGGTGAGACATTATTTCAAAATCACGTAGAATCTTTACATTTTTCATTTGAAACTTTTTGTAGAAGCGTAATTTAAATAAAACAATGGACGGTGGCTAATACGTCAAATGTCAAACGTTTTTGACAGATGATGTTCAATTACGTTTGATAGGATGTCTTACGTGAATATTATTTAATTATGATTAAATTGCAGTAAGTAGTTATATTTATACACAAATACGTTATTACGGGCCGCAAGTGTCACTATAAACTCAAAATATCAACTTTTTTGAAATGTTAATATGAAAATGCACTTTTTGGTATATTTTTCTCAAACACGGTGCTCTGAAAGATCTCATTTGTATAATTATATACTCATTGATATTTATAAAACATTTTCTAGGTTATATTATTTTTTATTTATGTTATTTTGATTCAGAACGTAAATTTGGTATGGATCGAAGGGACACTTTGTCGAATAACATTTTCCCAGTTATAATTTCCCAGAATTTATCGAAAAATACATTGTAATATATGAAGGTCCGGGGTTAAAAAGGTCCACCACCAATTTGTCAAAAATCAGTAAAGTTAAGCATTGTTGAACAACAATATCTAAAAGTAGAGGGAAAAGATGTATAACCAGCTATAACCTTGATTTTTATGACTTTTCTATCGAGAGATAAAGAGTTATCTTTGAAAATCCATAATACTTTTTATTAAATTCACTTTAATTCATCGAATGTTACTTGAAACTTTTCAAAAATTAGGTCAAAGAAGAAATACTTAATTCATTTTATATCTCTCCTCGCAGAAATTTAAAAATTGTTTATAAGCTCAGTAGTATTATTTACAATTGTACACAAAGTCCAGAATCCAAAAAGGATCTGAAAAACTTGAAACGTCGAAATTATTATGTCGAAAGACCAAGAAAGACTTGGGTTAGATTATACCATGTTTTCTATACAAAGTGTATAAAACTTCCAGTTTGATTGTATTGACAAAATATAGACAAACTAATCGGGTTTATTGTTTTTATAATATCTCATTGCATATTGCAAACAACTCATCCTTATACACTTAAAGTGTTAATACTTTTGATTCTCTAAAAATTATTTAAAATATACCTTACTTAGCAAAACAACGTTTGCCGGGTTAGCTAGTATGTATATATATATATATATATATATATATATGTGTGTGTGTGTGTGTGTGTACACGTATGTCCTTTTCCACATATCAATTACTATCCCTCAAGGGTTGAGAAGCGTGTCCGATTAAATTTCCTCTTTCGTATTAAATCAAGCGTAAAATGCCGACACTCGACTTCCAATTGGACACCCCTGTCATAATTCTAACAAAACTCTATGTGAATTTTTCACACACACTGGAAAAATTTTGCAAAACCATTATTATCAGAAATGTTCAAAATTTCTCCTCCAGGTTTTAAGCAAAATTTGAAAATCTTTCGAAAAATATCATTTGGTAATTGTGCTGATAGTATCGGTTTGTCGGTTTTCAAAAACCGGTTTTTGGCGAAGATTATGAAAGTCGAAAACCGGTGTTTTAGTGAAAAAAGTCGGTTTTCACTGTATAAATAAAAAATGACAGATATAGCCAAATATAAAAGATAGATGAAAGCGTTTTGATTCTTGAAATCATATCGTTTCAATAGCATTTGATATCTTATCAGTCTGCAATGGTTCCCAGAAAGGTTTTGTATATATTAATTTAGATTTTTATACCAGTGTATATATTAATTTAAATCAGTGTGACTTCTTCTTGTAAAAGTAACTTCCTCTACTCAATCTTAATAAAAAGAATTTTAAACTCTAGAAGCCACAAATTGAAGAACAAAAAACTTAGAATTATTATATCAAGGTTTAAAAACAATTAAGCATAATTTGGTCGCAAGTGTGAGAGTATTTTCTATTTCAGGAAATTTTGTGAGTAAACAAAGGACATGTTTATGTAGCAATTCGATAGACATTCTCAATTTTTTTAAATCATATTTTATTAAACAAAAAACAATCAGAATGTTTGAAATTAATTAATTTAAGTTGCTCGGAACAGAAATAAAAGTTTAGCTTAAATGTTTTTAAAACTAAATTTGATATTTACAAGTATGTATCAACATGTATCTATTTTTTTTTGTTTTATGAATTATTTTTTAATTTAAAAATGTATTATTTTTATTCATTCAAAAACTTTCCTTTCACTATCATAAAAATATTTTCATTCTTATACGTGAAAATGATGCATGAATAACATATAATTATTTTCAAGATATAATCAAGATAAACTATTATCTTTTAGTTCTACTAATTAAAATTAAAATGATTTTAATTACTATCTATAAAATTGAACAATAAATAAATTCAGTCAAATACTATTCTAAATTACACTAAATTTGCGGATAAATTACAGAATATTCGAGCAAAAATTTGTTTTCTATATAAAATTCGAAAACCGGTTAAAACCGGTTTTTTAGCCAAATTAAAATTCGAAAACCGGTTTTTTGAAATGTCGGTTTTTGTATAAACCCTAGCTGATACCGATGATTTTTCAAGATTGCTTGTAATTTGTTGCGATTTTAATAAAACCTTCTTGGTAATAATAAACATTCTAAAATATTATAGGCCTAGAAAAATTGGTTTGGCTGTAAAAATGCATTTTTTTATTGAGTAAGTCAATTGTTAAAACAAAATACAAATTACAACTAGTATCTCAATCTTCCTAATTAGTCCTTCGACAGATAATTACAAGAAAATAAAATGTCCCACAGAAATGTGGGAATAAAATGTCCTTCTCCTGCTCCACGAATTAATTCGTCGTAATTACATTTAGTAGGATTTTATTGCTCCCCTTTGACCAGGATTGTGGATGGTAACAGTTGGGGGTGCCTTAGTCATCCCTCGGGGAAAATGGAAAATATATATACCATACATGATTGGAAAAAAATCATTTTTTACTAGAATTTTTTACTAGAAGGATAAATTACTAGAAAACAATTGATATACGTGACTCTTAAAAGATCAGAGATGTGGATTCTAAAAAAATCAATTTAATTTTGTACAAACTTGCCTAAAACACTATTTACATTAGACAAACTGTTTGGAAGTTACAAGATGTATAACAAAAAAAAATGCCCAAATAAATTACAAACCCAATAATGTACCAAACAAGTAAATATATTTTTTTAGAATTAATTTTGAAGTATACGGATTTGCTGTAGAATATTATACTAAAAAAACATAATAGATAATCTAATATCCTACAATATTCTCAAATATTCCATTTATATTAAACGAATCATTTACAAGTTACAAATAAATGCACCAGCAAATCTCTCTAAGATAATTAGATTATAGTTTTGCTCATTGCAAAGGGCTTTTGGGAAAAAAGGGCGTCACTGATCTTGCCAGATTAGGAAATGCATTTGTGTCAATTCTCCCCTCGGAATAATATTTAGAAGCCTTTAGAAGCTCCCCAAACAGTATTTTTGTACTAAGTGACAGAGGGATTAGAGAAGTCAAAAAGGCGAAAAGATATTGGATCAACCCCAATAAAAATATTTATTTTATATGAAATGAATATATATATATATATATATATATATATATGTATAAATTATACAGCAACTCGGTATACATCAAAATCGCTTTTCAGGATCAAAAGTTAAACGGAATGCCTTGAATGTGTATTAATATCTTGTAACGGTTGTATTGCTCAAACCATTCGATTAATATAAATGGTGTCAAAGACAAATTTGTTCAATATCAAATACCTAATATTTTGTTCTAATATCATAACGCCCTACAGCAACTCGGTATACTTTAAAAACGCACTTAAAAATACAAGTTTAACCAGACTTCTAATTTAGTAGAACCATTGCATTAGTAGCGGTATGAACCTACGTTTGCAGTTAGTTTTTATCATATAACTTGCAAAATATTTGTTTAAAGTACATTGTGTATTCAGTGAATTTGTGCAAAATTAAATAGTCTATGAAATTTTCTAATATCATAATACCCTACAGCAACTCGGTATACTTCAAAATTGCATTTGAAAACGATCATTATCCCTAGTTCCTTTGTACCTACACTTGCTTCTTTTAATGCTTGTACACTTCAAACCATTTGATTAATATCAATGATGTATAAGACAAATATGTTCGTAATTAAATTAGTAATGATATGTTCTTACATAATAATACCCTACAGCAACTCGATATACTTTAAAATCGGATTTGAAAATACAAAATTGACCAGACTTCCAAATTAGTAGAACCAATGCATTAGTGCTGGTATGAACCTGCGTTTCCAGTTAGTTTTTATTATATAACTTTCAAAATATTTGTTTAAAGTACATGGTATATTCAGGGAATTTGTGAACAATTAAATAGTGTATAATATTGTTTAATATTGCAAAACTCTATAGCAACTCGGTATACTTTAAAAACGCGTTTGAACATCGATAATTATCCAGAATGCCTTGCGAATAAATGTACATGATTTATTTCTTATAACACTTGTACACTTTAAACCATTCGATTAATATGAATAAAGTCTGAGACAAATTTGTTTACTATTAAATACCTAATATTTTGTTCTAACATTATAATGTCCAAAAGCAACTCGGTATACATTAAAAACGCACTTAAAAATACATGTTTAACCAGTCTTCATATTTAGTAGAACCATTGCATTAGTGGCGGTATGAACCTACGTTTGCAGTTAGTTTTTATTATATAACTTTCAGAATATTTGTTTAAAATACATAGTATATTCAGAGAATATGTGCAAAATTAAATAATCTATGAAATTTTTTAATATCATAACACCCTACAGCAACTTGGTATACCTAAAAAACGCATTGGAAAATCGATAATTACTAAAATAACATACCTAAAAATACAAATTTAGTAGAGCCAATGCATTAGTGGGGAATGCAATGTTAATCAACCAGCGTTTTTACTTGGTAATTTCTTTATAACTTTCAACATATTCGTTTAAAGTATATAATATATTCAGTGAATTTATGTACAATTAAATTATGAATAAAAGTTTCTAATATCATAACACCCTACAACAACTTGGAGTACTTTAAAATCGCATTTGAAAATGGATCATTATGCCGAATGCCTTAAATGTGCACTTGTTTCTTATAAGGATCATACAGCTCAAACCATTTGATTAATATGAATGATGTGAGACAAAAATTTGTTTGATATTAAATCCTTTAAATTTTTTTCTAACATCATAATGCCCTACAGCAACTTAGTACCCTTCAAAACCGCAACTAAATTTCTGTTTTTTTCCCAAGATTCATCAGAAATCGACGACGACGACCTGGACAACTCGGATTTGGACTCTGACGCCGAGACGTCTCCAAAACCACAAAAAAATTCCTTGCAGTCTTCATCAATTTCACCAAATAAAACATCAACTCTCCAATCAGCCTTAGGACAACCTGGTGCCACCAATTCCAAATCCAGGAGACGAAGAACTGCCTTCACCAGCGAACAACTTTTGGAATTGGAACGAGAGTTTCATGCCAAAAAATATTTGTCCCTTACCGAAAGAGGACAGATCGCCACTGCTTTAAGATTGAGCGAAGTACAGGTAAAAATTACTTGAAACCAGTTATGTATGGCATCGTTTCTTAAGGCAAATTGCTGGAACTTACCGCACCGTAATGAAATATTCGAGAAATTTTAAACGTTTTCAAATATATTATTACAAATACTGTAACTTTCATTCATATTTTTGCTACCTTGTTATATCTGAGCAAATCAAATATAAATCATAAATCTATCAATTTATCTCCTTTAGACATTAACAATCGTCATTTCATTTTGAATTCAATTTCAAAAAAAAAATAGTTGCCTAATTCACACAAAATTGAAAAAATGCTCCCGTATAGTCACAGTCTAAACGCATTTGCAAATAATTTTGTGCGACATTTTCACTTATACTGTGCTTAGCTTGGCGGCATTTTCACATTTTTCAATAGTTTTCTCACAAAATTGGAAAATTGTTCCAATACATAAACAGTCTAAACGCACTTGGGTAAACATTTGTACCAGAGTGGCGCTTAGATGTGCTTAGCTTGGGTAATTTTTTGAATTTTTAATCCAAAATTACAAAAATATTTTTTGAAAAAAAAATTAGAAACAAAAATTTCTTTTCCGAAAGCTATTATTTTGTTGAAACAAGCAGAAAGTTTTTTGAATCATTAAGCGGAAACTAAGCGGACGCTTAGTTCTCTCAAAAACTGCCATTTTTTTAACATTTACCTCTGTATTTCCGAAACCGCTGGGCCTACCTTTGCCAAAAACTAACGGTCTTTTCCCCGTTATTACTAACTGAATGTTTTTTGGATCATACAAATCGGATGATCCGTTCTCTCAAAAACTCGATTTCTATTTTCTGCACTCTTTGCTCCATATCTCCGTAACTGCTGGACCTGCTTTTACCAAAAACTAATCAGCACATCTCCCTATCAATAGGAATCGAATGTTTTTTAAACTATTCAAATCGGTTGATCCGTGCGCCTGAAAACGTGACCGAAAAATTGTATCCTTACATACATACTCGCACACACTCACACATCCATTTTTTCAGAGGTATGCCAAAATGTTCAGAAACCTTCAAAACGTCGAGAAATGTAAAAATTTTCAATTTCAATTTTCGGCCCATTACTATTGCCTAGGCTAAGCACAATCTAAGCGCCACTCTGGAACAAATGTTTACCCAAGTGCGTTTAGATTGTTTATGTACTGGATCACTTTTTCAATTTCAAAACTATTGAAAAATGTGAAAATGCCGCCAAGCTAAGCACAGTATAAGTGACTATGTCGCACAGAATTATTTGCAAATGCGTTTAGAATGTGACTATACGGGAGCACTTTTTCAATTTTGTGTAAATTAGGCAACTAAACTATTTTTTTGAAATTGAATTCGAAATGAAATGACTATTGTTAATGTTCTGGAGATAAATTGATTTATGATTTATGATTTACATTTGATTTGCTCAGATATAACAATAAGATAGCAAAAATAATGAAAGTTACAGAGTATTTGTAATAATATATTTGAAAACGTTTGGAACTTCTCGAATATTTTATTACGGTACGGGAAGATCCAGCAATTTTTCTTAAGGCACGATGCCATACACCAATAGTTTTTTATAATTCATTTTGTTGTTATCTAATTGACGTGTGTGTGATTTTTAAGGTGAAGATTTGGTTCCAAAATCGTCGTGCCAAATGGAAACGTGTCAAAGCCGGTTTGGGTGCTACAAAACATCATTTGGACAATTCTGGAAGCCACAATCGCCAACCTGGTGGTTCTACAGCTGGTGGTATCCAAGAATCTACAAATAGTGCAAATACCAGTCGTCCTAAAATTGTGGTACCAATTCCTGTACACGTCAACAGATTTGCAGTAAGTATCTGGATACTAGGGTTTATACAAAAACCGACATTTCAGAAAACCGGTTTTCAAATTTTAATTTTACTAAAAACCGGTTTTAACCGGTTTTCGAATTTCATGTGGAAAATAAATTTTTGCTCGAATATTCTGTAATTTATCCGCAAATTTAGTGTTATTTAGAACAGTATTTGACTGAATTTATTTATTGTTCAATTTTATAGATAGTAAACGCAACTATTTTGATTCCAATTACTAGAACTAAAAATAAGAGTTTATCTTGATTACATAACTTGGAAAATAATTATTCATTATTTATGCATCATTTTCACATATAAGAAAGAAAATATTTTTATGATAGTGCAAGAAAAGTTTTCGAATAAATAAAAATAATACATTTTTAAATGAAAAAATGCATTAAATTTAAAAAAAGTAAAAAAATATTAGATACATGTTGATACATACTTGTTAATATCAATATTAGTTTGAAAAACAATTAAGCTAAACTCGGGTATTGTCTGTTCCGAACAATTTTAATTAATTAATTTTAAACATTCTAATTGTTTTTTGTTTAAAAAAATATGATTTAAAAAACTGAGAACGTATACAGAATTACTACTTAGACGTGTCCTTTATTGTTTACTCACAAAATTTCCTGAAATAGAAAATACTCTCATACTAGCGACCAAATTATGCTTAATTGTTTTTAATGTCTGATATAATAATACAAAGTTTTTTGTTCTTTAATTTGCGGCTTCTAGGGTTTAAAACTCTTTTTTTAAGATTGAGTAGAGGAAGTTACTTCTTCAAGAAGAAGTCACACTGATTTAAATTAATATATACACTGGTATAAAAATCTAAATTATTATATACAAAACCTTTCTGGGAACCATTGCAGACAGATAAGGTATCGAATGCTATTGAACCGATATGATTTCAAGAATCAAAACGCTTTCATCTATCTTTTATATTTGGCTATATTTGTCATTTTCCATTTATACAGTGAAAACCGACTTTTTTCACTAAAAACCGGTTTTCGAATTCCATAATTTTTGCCAAAAAACCGGTTTTTGAAAACCGACAAGCCCTACTGAATACAACAAAAATCACCACAAATTTTAACCATTTTTTTTTCCAGGTGCGTTCAAGACATCAGCAAATGGAAAAAAGCCAGCAAGGTCTTCTTTTAACCAAACGAGAATCCACTTTAGGTATAAATTATTCAAGGACACCATGTGACCCAATACCAGGCAAACTAGGTCTTTTGATACCGCCTCCAAGTTTAGGAGTTACCACGAAATCTGATATGTTGACCGAGGATTTGAGTTTGCGGAGACGAAATTTGGTGAACGAAGGTAATTTTTTGTTAAGACCTGCTGGCAGGAGGGAAGATTTAACTGCCAGGAGGAAAAGTGAAAATAGTGGGTTTATGGCTATTGATAGAAGTAAGGCGGTTCAGGATTGAATAGGAATTTATTTAGGAAATGATCAGCAAGTCCTTAGGGCTTTGGATGTACATTTGTTTCTCCAAACGCTTGTATAACGTAAACCGTTTGATTTATTGAAATGATGTATATGAGAAATTTGTTTGAAATTTAATTGTCTACGATATTGTCTAACATTATAATGATCTACAGCAACTCGTTATACTTTAAAATTGCATTCAAAAGTCAATAGTATACCAGAATGCTCTGGATGTGCATTTAGTTCTTATAACGTTTGTATTCTGTAAACCATTCGATTGATATGATTGATGTCTAAGACAAATTTGTTTGATATTATCATATCTATATTTTGTCCTAACATCATAATAACTTACAGCAACTCGGTATACTTTAAAACCATCTTGAAAATAGACAATTGACTCAAGTTTGCTACCATGTTGTACAACCATAGTGAGTGGATCGATAAATGTTTTAGTAATTGTTTTATAACTTTTAAAATATTTGTTTAAAGTACATGGTATATTTAGTGAATTTGTGCACAATTGAATGGTGCATAAAATTTTGTAATATCATAATATTCTACAGCAACTCGGTATACTTTAAAATTGCATTCGAAAATGAATAGTACACTAGTAAGCCTTGGATATGCATTTGTTTCTTCTATTATTTGTACGCCTTGAATCATTCGATTTATTTAGATGGTGCCTAAGACAAATTTGTTCGATATTATTATATCTATATTTTGTTCTAACATCGTAATGCCCTACAGCAACTCGATACACTTTAAAACGCACTTGAAAATACAAAATTAACCAGACTTCCAACTTATGTAGTAGAACCATTGCATTAATGGTAAATCGACCAGCGTTTTTAGATGATTATTTTATCATAACTTTCAAAATATTTATTTAAAGTACTAAGTATATTCAGTGAATTTATGAATAATTGAATGATGTATAAAATTTTCTAATATTATAACACCCTCAAGCAATTCGGTATACTTTAAAAACGCCTTCGAAAATCAATAATGCACCTGAATGCTTTGGATATGCATTTACTTCTCCAAACGCTTGTACACCGTAAATCATTCGATTTATTTAGATGATGACTTAGACAAATTTGTTCGATATCAAATCATCTATATTTTTTTCTAACATCATAATACCCTACAGGAACTCGGTATACTTTAAAACGCACTTGAAAATAGAAAATTGACTCCGCTCCAATATAGGACAAAAGTACTGATTTGGCTACGTTTATTGGCACTATTTTTTTTTAGTAATTGTTATATATCTTTTAAAATATTTGTTTAAAGTACATGGTATATTCAGTAAATTTGTGCACAATTAAATAATGAATAAAAATTTTCTAATATCACAACACCCTCAAGCAATTCGGTATACTTTAAAATCGCTTTTGAAAATCCATAATACACCTAGAAGTTTTGGAAGTGCATTTAGTTCTTATAACGCTTGTATACCTTTAACCATTCGATTGATATGAATGATGTCTAAGACTGTTCAATATTATCATATCTATATTTTTTTCTAACATCATAATGCCCTGCAGCAACTTGGTTTACTTCAAAACGTTTTGAAAAAAAAATTGACTCTGTCCCATATATAGAACAAAAGTACTGACTTGGCTACGTTTATTGGCATTACTTTTTTTACTAATTGTTATATAACTTTCAAAATGTTTGTTTAAAGTATATAGTATATTCAGTGAATTTGTGTACCATTAAATGATGCATAGACTTTTCTAATATTGTAAAACTCTACAGCAACTAGGTATACTTAAAATTGCGTTAGAAAATCGATAATACACTTGTATTTTTTGAATGTGCATTTATTTCTCCTAACGCTTATATACCGTAAACCATTCGATTGATATGACTGATGTCCGAGACAAATTTGTTTGATATTAAAGTAACTATATTTTATCCTTTTATCATAATGACCTACAGCAACTCGGTATACTTTAAAATCGCGTTTGAAAATCCATAATACTCCAAAATGCCTGAGATGTGCATTTATTTCTTATAACAAAGTTAGTCATTTCCAGAAACTTTGCCGAAGAAACCATAGCGCAGAAGTGCATTTCAACTCAGTGAAATTTTCAACAAAGATTTTTTTTTTCATATTTAAATATGAACTTAAAAAATCACATCTATAAAAGTTGACAGTTCAAACAAACCCTATAAAATATTAAAGGCCTGTGAGAAATGGCTTAATTAAAAAAATATATACGTAAGAGTTTTCTCTTTTCGATACGAGTCGATAAATATATTTATGTTATTTTATAAGATAAAAGAGCAATCTTATCCGAGAATAAATCTAATAGTCATTTATTATTATGTATGAGCAAAATTTGTTCTAAAAATTGTAAATATTTGATGTGAGTGTGAAATGTGAATTTGTACAAATTAAATTTATATAATTATATTATAATTAAAAATAATGTGAATATAAAATATTTATAATTAAATTTGTCTATTATTCAAAAATTTAATTTTGTTAATGTCGCAGGGCAGGAGGAGAGGACGTTTTGCCATAAAAATTTTTATGGCAAAAAATTCTCTCATTTAAAATTTCTTTATTTAAAAAACAACTTGTGTTTTGTTATATAAAAATTCGGTTTGTTAATTTCGTGGTTTCGCAATGTTTTAAGTCATTCTGAATCGTTGGGCATCCAAATTTGGAAAAAAATAAGAAATTCAATTAAAGTGCAAACCTAGACTTAAAAATTAAAAATTATTTTTATTTTAATAACTCAAAAAATATAAAAAAGTGACGTTTGTTATTACTAATAGATTTTACTTTAATAAAACAAGATTCTGCGAATCTTCTTTTTTTTAACTTCCCGTAGGGCAAGTTATAGTAATCGCAAAAAAATCGAAAATGAAAATTTTTATAAATCTTTACGTTTCAAACCTTCTGAACATTTTGGCGTACCTTAGAAAAAATGGATGTATGTGTGTGTGCGTGTGTGTGCGGATACAAATTTTCGTCGACGATTTTGGTAAAACGGATCAAGCGATTTGAATAATTCAAAAAACATTCGATTCGTATTGAAAAGGAGATGTGCTGATTAGTTTTTGGCAAAGGCAGGTCTAGCCGTTCCCAAGATATGGGGCAAAAAGTGCCAAAAACGGTAACTCAGTTTTTAAGAAAACGGAGCGTCCGATTTGAATAATTCAAAAAACATTTCATTTTTATTAACAAGATGAAGAACTGATCAAATTTTCATGCAGGTAGGTCTATCGGTTTAGGAGATCTCGTAAAAAAAGTGAAAAATAATACCATTTTGCGGTCAAAAATGATCATTAGACATATGCACATCAAATTATCAGATATTTTATAGAGATTTTAACAATAAGTATAAATTTTGTTTACATTTCTATGGGTTCCGTACCAATGTTTATCCGTTAGACGGCGGCGCGGCGCTTACGCGCTTTATATTTCGTCTCTATGCAGTTAAAGCAGTACGATTGCTTTGACAAAATGTTCTGAATTACCAAAATATCTCAAAATAAATTTTTCTTCATAAAGTCTTTTTTTTTTCAAAAAAAGTAGATTTTTGTCAAAAATTTATAGTTTCTCAAAAATCTAATTTTTTGAAGTAATTTTTTTTCAAAAACGTTAATCGTTTTTAAAAAAAATAATAATTTTTGGTACGGGAAGTTCCAGCAATTTGCCTTAAAGCACGATACCGTGCGGCCTACTAGTTAAATAAATATATCAATATTGTGCTTTATATTTATGTTAATAAATTATCTCATGTCCTATTTTTAAAACATTCTAAAAAAAATTATGATTCTGTCAGAAAATCTGGATTGATCATTTTATTTAGTCATTCTGACCGATTTGACATACAAATTTGAAAAAATCGCCAAAAATCAATGAATTGAAATGGGGTTAAATAAACAATAATAAAACAATAATAAACAATATAAAAAATACATAATCACAGAAAAATATAAATAAAAACATGCAAAAAAGCATAAATCTAATCAACAAATAAAATAATAAATTTATGTATTTTTTATGTTGTTTTAAATTGTAACCCTGAAATATTTAATTGAGGCACTGAAGATGAGTCAAATCAAGACCCGAAACGTATGTTTTCTGAATTAAAACATTTTTATTCAATAAAACTGTTTTTAATTACTGGATGGATGCCCAAGAACGATTTATATACATAATATATATATATATATATATATATATATATATATATATATATATATATATATATAAAGCGAAAGATTTTTCTTCAGATGGTGAAATAATATGATAAAATTGTTTCTTGGGCATCCATCCAATAATTAAAAAACAGTTTTATTGAAAAATGTTTTTATTAAGGGAACATACGTTTCGGGTCCTGATTTGACCCATCTTCAATTTGACCCAAATAAATTTTGAAAAACAACACAGAAACACAAAATTGCACGAAAAAATAAATGAATGTGAAATAAAAAATTGATGAAACGTCTAGTTATGAAAAATTTAAAAAAATGTAAAATTAAAATAAATGATATATTTTATTATAAAAAAACACTCGTAATACAATTACGATTACGATTTACAAACTAACAACATGTTCGTTTGGAATAAGCTTTTTTATAATAAAATATATCATTTATTTTAATTTTACATTTTTTTAAATTTTTCATAACTAGACGTTTCATCAATTTTTTATTTCACATTTATTTATTTTTTCGTGCAATTTTGTGTTTCTGTGTTGTTTTTCAAAATTTATTTGTATGCACTGAAGATGGGTCAAATCAGGACCCGAAACGTATGTTCCCTTAATAAAAACATTTTTCAATAAAACTTTTTTTTAATTATTGGATGGATGCCCAAGAAACAATTTTATCATATATATATATATATATATATATATATATATATATAATTTGCAAATTTAAAGTAAAAAATACAATAAAAATACAAAGATATAAATAAAAAAAAGTGAATTAACTTAATAAATCTAAACAATATGGTAAAAAAAATTATTATAAGTCTAAAATAAGTTTTTGTATATAAACTTAAGATACAACTAAAATAATAGAATAATATGCAATAACTCACCATACAAATAATTTGAAGATAAACAAAACACAGGGAAAATATAATACACCAATAAATACTATATTATTTTCAAAGCACGAATTTTAAAAAACTATCAAATTAAAATAAATTATTAAATAATAAATTAAAATAAAAGAACTATCCTCATCGAGACATTTTACATGTTTGAAAAAATTTTTTTTACTAGTGAATTGTGTTTCTATGTAAAGACAAGGAAACTCGAAAAGCTGTTTCGTCATTGGTTGAAGAGTGAGATAGAGATGTTTTAGTGGCGCTTTGGCCGGCGGAAAAATTTCGAAGTAAGGGTGCAGAAAATATAGATGTTGGATTTAAGCTGTAATCAGTAGGCAAAAAAGTTTTTGTATGAGAATTAACATATAAAATATGAAAAAATATGCGAAGAAGAGGATAGAATATATTGATATATATACATACATATATATATATATATATATATATATATATATATAAATCTCGTGTCACGATGTTGGTTCGCGATGGACGCCCAAACGACTGAACCGATTTTAAATTTTATTGGCTCATCGTGTACATATATATCCAACTTAGGTTATAGGAAATTTTGAAAAGTAAATTTGAAATATAAATATATAATTTTTATAAATTTCTAAAAATTTTGACAAAAATGACCAAAAAAAAAACAAAATACTAAAATGACAAATGTCAAAATTTAAGGAAATTTCGATATATAATTTTTGAAAAAAAAATTTGACACTTCAAAAAATAAAATTCAAAAACATGTACATATATAGAAATATCCAACATTTAAATCCAAATTTGATGAAATGCTATATTCAAAATCACTGTTTATAGTTTTAAATCTAATTAAAAATCAATGCTTAAAAATTTGAATAAATGTTGACATGTAAAAAAAATAAATGTCATTTGTCAATATTTATGAAAATAATTATATAAATAGATTTACGATTTAGATTTAATTGATTAGCTTACCAAATTATTTCGGAAACCAAAACTTCATCAAAACATTATGGATCAGAGATCACAATAAAAATTTACATTCACGATTTTTCAATTAAATGCAAATATAAAAAATCAAATATTTATATAAAAAATTGTATATTTAGATAAAGATACTGCGTTGATTTAGGCTAAAATTTAATTTATTCTCTAATTTAAAAAAATTGACATAAACAAAATTAAAATAAACAAAACACTATGATGCGTTGGAATTATTTACCGGAGTGTAAAGAAATTTGTGTAATTAAAATTTAATATTATTATTAATATATCAGTTAAGATATATTTTGATTGTCATCGCAAATGCTAATCTTACAGGAAATTGTAACCTCTTAAATGGAATAATACAATCTGAGGGTATCATTGGAATCTGACAAAAACAAACTAGACAAACTAAATATTATATTAAAATTTGACCGAAAAGAAAATATTTTGACAATTATAATTAATTTGAAATTAAATGCAAATGTCAAAAATCAGATCTTTATGTAAAATAATATATATTTCCACAATATTCCTGTGTTGATTTAGCCAAACTTATGAATTTAACAATTATATAATTATTCATTGATGACTTAAAATAATTAATAATTTATTAACAAATAAATAATATTAGAAAGAAAATTTTATTGTCAAATATTACATGACAAACGTAGAATAAACAAAAAACTATGATGCGAGTGAATTAATTTTAAAAGTATGAAATGTCAAATAATTTTGAAAATTATAACAAGTTTTTAACTATTTGTCAAAGAATCAGAGTCCAAATCTATTAAATATTTTATTTTTGGCACTTTTATTAATTTTTTATCAATTTAGGCATATTTTTTATGGCAAAACAACGTTTGCCGGGTTAGCTAGTATATGTATATATTTAAAAAAAATACCTAATCTTTAGTTTAAATTTCGCGCAATATGATCGTCATAGATACAGCTACTATGATATTATGATAGCAAAACAAGTGATAACCTAAAATTACGTAAAAGTAAAATATTCTTTAAAATTGTAGTTATTGGTGTAAAAGTGTTTAGGAACTGACATTGTGATTATTAACATTAAATGTCGTTTCTTTTCTGACAGGTATGTAAGGTTTTGTATTTAAAACTTTGTCTAATGTAGAACTAACCATAAAATATATCTTTTCTGACAGAGAAACTCAATTGTGTTTTATTGACTTTGTCACCCTAAGCACGAATATAATCTTATATATATATATATATATATATATATATATATATATATATAGTGTTCCGATGTTTGTCCCGAATGTACTCCTAAACTGCTGAACCGATTTTAAATTTGATTTCGTCAAAATGTGCATTTATATTCAACTTAGATTATAGTCTTTATTCAAAAACACATTTCATATTCAAAATATCAAAATTTTAGAAATTTCAATAAATTTTGACAGCAAAGGGTGCCGAGCATGGTAGTATATACATATATATATATATATATATATATATATATATATGTATATATATACATATATATAAATATATTCTTGAAAGTTGATTTGCGGCCAATCGTCGAAATAACAGAAACAATGAATAATAAAATATTTATTTATACGTTTCGACACTGTTGCGTGTCATCGTTCAGCAATTTTTTATATTTTTACAGAATCTAAAAAAAATTTTACATAGTTTAAAAGAAGATTAAATTTAGTTTATATTATAGATTAAAAAAATAAAATGACAAGTGAAAAATTGATACATACCACACCAGTAAAAACAATAACAAAAATTTTAAAAATATAGAAAATAAACAATTATAAATTTTTAAAATTTTATAAAATCAAAAAGATTAATTGAAAAATACAAGAGCCAAAGATTTGGAGAATTTAAAAAAAAATGATAATATTATGATAAGAGTCATGTACTAAAAGAGAAGAATTTCGTTTATTTACGCAAAGGGAGTTTAAAAAAATAAATACAGATTCAGCAAATTTTCTGAGGTCAATATTCTTTTTCTAACCTAAAATAATAGGATTCTTGGTATTGAAAGTATGGTTTTAAACTAATGACATGTTCAGAAAACATTGTTTTATATTGATTTGGATTTTTTGAATTACAAATATGTTTATTCATTCTCTTGTAAATATATTGCAAACTTTCGTCAATATAACAACAATTACAATCATTACAGTCCACTTTGTAAACGTCAGGAGTTATATATATATATATATATATATATATATATATCAGATTTGTGACCAAAACATTAGTAACTATGATTTATTTTCGCGACTTTCGTGAAAAACTACGCAATAAACTTATGATTTATATTCTTAAGACACGCCTGCGTTTACTTTTGGTGTGACATATATATATATATATATATATATATATATATATATATATATATATCGGTAACTGTGTATATTCGCCGTTGGTTAATTTAATAGAAAACGTTTTGACAAAATACCCTTTGCTTTGTTAAATGCAAATCGCTACATGGATTTTAACTTTAAAGGTCTCCCCATTTATGTCACAATTGAACACACACACAAATATATATATATATATATATATATATATATATATATATATGTCATAGTGGGGCGTTCCTGTCAATCAAATTTTAGAGATTATAAAAGGTGTGACCGAATATACAAAAGCTAAACGGCACAAAGTCTGTAATGGATACGAAAACAGTATTCTCTATTTTTGTTCTCATAATTTATATAGATATATTTTTGTAATAATATATCAACTAATAAATATTGACAATTATAGGAACATCGAATGAACCCATTAAATTAACTTCCTTTAGGGTAAGTTATAGTAATCGCAAAAAAATCGAAAATGTTAGAAAAAATTGATCTAAGTGTGTGGATACAATTTCAAATTTTTTGAAAAAAAAATTTCATCGATAAAAAATCATTACAATTTCTGGATTGAAGACCCACATACTCAAATTACAGCACTCTATTTACATTCTATATAATTTTAAAAATACTGTTCTGGAGATAAATTGATTTATGATTCATAATTTACATTTTATTTGCTCAGATATAACAAGATAGCAAAAATAATGAAAGTTACACTATTTGTAATAATATATTTGAAAACGTTTAAAATTTCTCGATTGTTTCATTACGGTATGGGAAGTTCCAGCAATTTGCTTTAAGGCACGATGCCATACACCACTAGTTTTTTTTTTTAATTTAAAAAAATGATAGATCTACTTGAGTTAAGTAATTTAAAAAAAATAAAATTGACTGTTCAGAAATAAAAATATATAAATACATAATTAAAAGTGAATTATATTTTGCTAACACTGAAAGAATGTACTTGAATGAAACAAGATTCTGCGAAACGGTCTATATTTTTTTCTACACATAAATATATTTATATCAACATTATTATGTACTTTTCAAAAGAGACCTTATTGATAGTTTTATGTACTTTGAACGTTTAATGCAATTCTAAATCGTTTGAGACCAAATTGGGAAGAGTTTGTGTATACGAATATATGTATATGTAGGCTGATTTTTAGGCAGTAGAAACAATTTCAACTGCCAAAATGTGTTAGAAAATAGTGCCTTGTCGAAATTCAATGTGTTAGAAATGTCTGTGAATGCATCGTAAAAAAAATATTCTAAAAATTGGGGCCTTAAATATGTTCGGATAAAATGAGGTGCCTCCAAGATGTACTAAAGAAATGCATTATAGTAATTGAGGCCCCAAAATGTATTCGAACAAAAAAATGTTCAAAATTTAAAAAAAAAAAAAAAAAATTTAAAAAATATCAAATTTTTCGATAAAGTATAATTTTTCCAAAAATTCTCAAAAATCTAATTTTTTTAAAGTTTTGCAAATCTTTTTTAATATTTCAGTTTTTGGTACGAGAAGTACCAGCAATTCGCCTTAAGGCACGATGCCCTGCACCACTAGTTATTCAAGCAATTTGCCTCAAGACAAAATGCCACTTACACCTATTTCCTTTATCCGTTAATATCGAAAAAGCGACTTAAGCGTGTCTCATTACCGTCATCAAAATTCTCGACACAACTTCGATATTGTTGTTTCGGAATAAACGAGACATGTCATCACGTATTTATTAGGTACCGATGGCGGCATTATTCGATTAATTCGAAATGTTCATTTTTATTTTATTAGTTCTTTTGTTTGTGTCGAATTCAAAGACGAGCCGACGACATTTACATGGGACGATATGAGATTTGAATTTATAAATCGACGAAATAATAAATTACTATTCAATTGGGAGAGAAGTCGAAGGCAGAAACAATATGTACTGGGTCAGCTAGTATATATATATATATATATATATATATATATATATATATTACACAATTCACATATTAATATATACGAAATCAGCAGACTATATCTAATGTGATATCTTTTGTTCAAAACTGAGACGTCAATCAATTTTCTGACACCCTTAAATTAATTCCCTTGCATCCTAGTACACAAACCATTTGATACAGATATATATATATATATATATATATATATATATATATATAAATCTGTGACAAATTTCGACAAGTATTTCCCATTTTGAACCGAGTCAAAAATCAAAAACGAAATTAAAACGCGCGCACTTCTAATTTTTGATTGACGGCCATAACTAAATTGTTTTATAGGGGGTGGTTTTTGGATTTAAAATGTATTTTATAATTGATAAATTCATTCCAAAATGTTATGCAACAATTAATTTATATGTATATATCTTATATATAAAATTCTGCTGTATGGGTCGAGATACTACTCCTAAACGATTATTCGGGTTTTGATAAATCTTTCTGAAGTTTGTTAAGGAATTTTGTAAAAATTACAAAAAATCACTTAACATTGTTTGACATTGAAAACATTTAAACTGTCATCTGCTTTTTATATTATTTTTTTTCTTAATTTCCTATAGTGCTTATGCTAAGAACATAAATGAATCACAAAGGCAGGACATCAAGTAGGATATTAAAAAGTATAGGATAGGATATTAAAAAAATTGGAAAGAAATTCGAAAATGTCCTTGTTAAGGACGACCCTAATATATATATATATATATATATATATATATATATATAATATTACAATAATGTTTCTTTCAATCAGCCATAAAAATTATTTCTATGATCTCTTATTATTACTTAGTATTATTATTTCTTAGGTCTCTTAGTATAGTATATGAGTGCAAAGGGTAGCTAATACATATAAACGGATTATCTGCTTACTTCAGATTTAATAAAGAGGAATAAAAGGACTTTTTGTTGAAGAAAGAAGCTAAATGTGCAAAAAATGGCCGTTTTTGAGTGAACTAAGCATCCGATTTGAATGATTCAAAAAATCTTTCTGCTTGTATTGACAAAACAATTACTTTTGAGGATAAAAAATTATTACATCTTTTTTCATTTTCCATAAAATATTTTTGTAGTTTTGGATTAAAAAATTCAAAAAATCACCCAGATGAGCACAGTCTAAGCGCCATTCTGGTACAAATGTTTACCCAAGTGCGCTTAGGCTGTTTATGTATTGGAGCTCATTTCCAATTTTGTAAAAACTATTGAAAAATGTGAAAATGCCGCCAAGCTAAGGACAGTATAAGTGAAAATGTCGCACACAATTATTTGCAAATGTGTTTAGACTGTGACTGTACGGGGGCACTTTTTCAATTTTGTGCAACTATTTTTTTTTTAAATTGAATATTTAAATATTTTAAAAATATTTTATTTTTTTATTAGATAAAATCGTATTTATATCTTTAATATTAAAAATGACTACTTACTAATTATACAATAAAAAATTATATTTAATTAATAATGAAATAAAATTAATAAAAATTCACAAATATAATTATTCTAGTACAAATGCATTAATGAATTTAATAACATTTTATACAATTGTTTTGTACTTTTTTACACAGTATTTTGACAATTGAAGTGTATTTTTTTTTTAATTAAATTTTCAAGCATTTTGCTTCTATGTAATAATAATTATAATTAACATCAAAATAATATTATAATCAGTGCAAATGAATTTTATAATACTTTTTGAATTATAAATAAACATATTAGTATTAAAATATTGTTTTAATTTCATGTTTTTTTTTTTCATTTTTATTTAATTTTCATTAAATATTATTAGCAACTACTTGAAACTTGTGAATAATAAACGAATTAGTATTAAAATATGGTTTAAATTTCATGTTTATTTGAATTTGAATGTATTATCATTTTGTTTTCATCTAGTCCTAACCTAACAGCAACTTCACACCTTACAAAATTAATGACAGCTGAACTATTTATGTTATTTTTATTTAATTTTTATTAATTTTGCCTCTATTACTTGTTATTAACAACAACCTGAAACTTTAAAATGCTTTTTAAATATTAAATAAACAATTAAAATATTATCTCATGTTTTTTTTATAATGTCTAATCCTTTTGTCTACATCAAAAACAATG